TGCATACAGTTGGTCATATTGCCATTGTTAGGGGGCCCCCGTGGGTGCCTCTGGTGAATAAAAGGCTACAATCAACCTCTCAATATAGGTATCCAACCTAAAAGCTGGTAAAACAAGCGGGGCCTTTTCTAGTTGACATTGCTGAGAGCTACTTGCCACGTAACATATTGGTCACATTCTAATTATCAGTGAAATAGCACGAGTTATGATCTATAAATCTGACTTGTATGAAACACTTATTTTAGCTCTTTGTACATTTTCTTTATTGCCTAAAAATGAGCACTGTTTTTCTTTCTGTCTGTCTCTCTTTCTCAGTGTCAGATGGTGTGTAAGGACGTGTCAGCTGAAACCATGTACGACGTTCTCCATGACATTGAATACAGAAGGAAATGGGACACAAACGTCATTGAGACCTTCGACATCGGGAAACTTACGGTCAACGCCGATGTCGGTTACTACTCATGTATGTTGCACTCACGTGTAAACGTGCTATTTCCAAAAAGCGTCTGCATTCATTTGTCAATAATATAGTTTGTGAAGGGAAGCAGAGACAGTGCATATTGATCTGTAAAAATGTATCTTGTTTGTTTAACAGGGAGGTGTCCAAAACCTCTTCGGAACCGCGATGTCATCACACTTCGCTCTTGGCTGCCAATAGGGAAAGATTACATCATCATGAACTACTCTGTCAAACATGCCGTGAGTATAGACGCAAACACGGGGGGCTTACATATGCTCAGCTTAGGCCTTATTCAACCCTCTTATAACTCCATGTGTGTTCAAAGGTGCATTGTGAAACCCTGTTTTTAAATGAGCGCACATTGGCTGAGCCGCAATGAACGTTGATCCAGTTTAGCGAGCTTAAGGGCGTCGTGTTGTGTGAGGAGAAATCCTGAAATATTTGTGGAAAGTGGTCAATGCAAAACTGTGTGTGTGTGTGTCAGTCACTGCATGCAGAAAGTAAGAGAGTTTGGCCCCTTTCCAAAGACAGAGCACTGCCTTACCTCTTGCGCCCTTGATGCTTTTACCTGGGAAAATGATAAATGTACTGCGTGCTGCTTGGGTTTAAGTTTAGGATAGCAGATAAATTCAGTTGAATACGTTTTTCTTTCTTCTCAGTTTGGCTTCCAGTCATGCTTTAAAGGAAAAATGCCAACAGCGAATAAAGCAAACAGACTGATTAGAGACTGTGTGAGTGACTTTCAGTTTGGAATCAGGCCAGAATCCTCAGCCTTTAGTTTGGCTATATTTCTGTGTTTCTTGTCCAACTGGAAGAAGAGGACTATCTCGTGTGAAAGCTTATACTCATCACCTCACTCCACACTACAACAACTGATCTCTCAATTATTTCATTACCTGGTTTATAAGCTGGTTTTAAAACAGTAAAAAGTAAAATTGCTTTCATGATGTTGTAAACACCATGTTTTGTCTAACCAGTGTCTTAACAGTAAAAGGATATTTAGTTTACTATCACATAAGGCAAAGAAAGCAGTGAATCTGGAATATGTACTAGAAAATGACTTATTTGATAAATTAGTTAGCAAAAGTCAGCTGTATCTCTCTCGAGCTGTATTCCTTTCTGCCTGTCCCCTCTCTTCTTAAGTCTCATTTTCTTTTTCTTTTGTCTTTTGTGTTTCCCCTCGTCTCTTTTCCTCTCTTGTCTTTTTCCCTATTTTTTCTCATTCTCAGTTTCGCTCACTAATATAATGTTTACAAAAGGATAAGACCTCTCATGTGACTGTTAGCTGTTGACTTCCGCCTCCCCTTCCGCATTCCTGCATCAATAAGTGGTTACGAACATAATAGTGTGTGTGTGTGTGTGTGTGTGTGTGTCTGTATGTGTGTGTGTCTGTATGTGTGTGTGTGTTGGTGAGATTAGCCAAGGTCACTCTTGCTAGTCAGTAGAATTTGAGAGCTTGACTTGTGGAGTGCAGCTTAAGAGGATATTTAATAGAGTGCTGAGTTCATGTGCCCACTGCTAGGAGTCTGTCCGGAGTCTACAGGAGTCTGCATTTGACACCATGTTCATCTGAGCTCTTTTACATAATTACTAACAACTGCTTTTTCAGTAATACATTTGGAAAAGTTTCCAGCAATCAGTCTTTGAGATCCATCTTCCACTGACCTGTAGTAACTGTTGTTTGCTCCCCAGCAATTGCCATTGAGAAGATTGAGTCTCACTTGGACTTGCAAGAGAGGTCTATATATTTATATTAGGGCTACAGCTAGTGAGTACTAATGACTACTCTATCAGTTAATCTATTGAGTACTTTTTAAGCCACAATGGTGGCCTGACTCTGGGGTCTGGGGTCAGTTGGTCCATCACTTTGGACTAGACTGAAATAAACTATTAATATGGATGAAACAGGCATTCAGGGTTCCCATAGGGTCACAAATGAATGACATTCCCATCAGACTCAGTTGTACTGATGTACTATGCTATTAAGCATAAAGCATGCATTCGTGTTGCATGCAAACACGCTAAATTAAGAGGGTGAACATGCTAAACCTTATACCTGCTAAACGTCAGCATGTTAGCATTGCCATTGTTAGATTGTTAGCATGCTGATGTCAGCATTTAGCTCAAAATGAGGCTGAGTCTAAGTATAGCATCACAGAGCTGCTATGGTTGTAGACTCTTATCTTATTGATTAATCATTAGATATATAAAATGTCAAATAACAAATATCCTTTCCAAGTTACCAGAGCGCACAGTGATGACTTATAATTGCTTGTTTTGCCTGACCAACAGCCTACGTAAAGTTAAGTAAATGTGTGTTTGATTGATTGATCATCAGTTGCCCAGTTTTAAGATATCATAAAACACGACATTTCCTGGTATGGTGAATGGGTCGAGACTCTAGAGAGACACCGCATTGGTGGTTAATGCTTAAAATTTCCCGTAGTCTCTTATAAAAAAACTTTCTACAGTAGCTCAGAACATTGTGATGTTGTCCTTGATTTCCTAGAGGCCTGCCAATGTAATGATTCACAAAGGTTTTCATTGTACTGCACAAAGCAAGCATTCCTACAGTGTAACCTAATAGTAGAGAGGTGCAGGCACCAAAATTTGAGTCAAAAAAAAAAGATAAAAGCAGTTATCTGAACTTCTCCGCTGATAAAGGTTCTTAAGCCAACTGCTGCTTCGTGTGCTTCTTAAGTGCTCCGCAGTGTGCCTGTCCCAGTTAGCACAGGCTAACCAGTACTTCATCATCATGAATAATAATCTTTAGATATATAGTCAAAGGAGTCAGCAGTGGAATAGTATGCTGGAGCTGGCCTTTACTGCTGTGTTAGTCACAGAGTGGAGTGGATTAGCATCAGAAAGATGACTGTGAAGCAGAAAATCAGCTTGACTGGCAGCAGAAAAACACAACACAGAAAAATACCCTGGTGCATACCCTGCACAACTTATGTCAGCCATTTGATAGATGGTCACAGAGAGCTAAAGACAACATTTTGGGTTTTTTTAGCAGTCATTTTTTAATATCTCTGCTTGTGCATGTGTGTATTTTTTGCATTCATGCATGTAATGAAGTCACATACATGATAATAAAAGAAATCTGGAGGAACGGGATGCCTTGTCCTGATACATGCACTGAATGATGACAATGTTAATTTGAATAAGAATCTGTATGTGTGTGACTGTGTGTGTATCATTCCTACAGAAATACCCTCCTAAAAAGGACATGGTGAGAGCTGTGTCTATTCAGACTGGCTACATGATCCAGTGCCAGGGACCCAACCGTTGTATCCTCACTTACATGGCCCAGGTAGATCCCCGAGGTAACTAATACACACTCACTCACTCACTCACACTCACAGGCAATCAACAGCAACAACACACAAGGACAACCTTTCAGTTCATAAATAGAAGTACATATACAAAAGAAGACTGAAGCACACAGGTATACACACACACACACTCAACCCAGGTGTTTGACGCATGCTCAAAGTCCTAATAAATGATTCATTGCCCTGCCTTTATGTCAAAATGAATCGCCATAGTAACCATATGAAGGACAGTCTGTTTCACTCTGCCGCCTCTCTCTCTAGCTCTGTCTCCCTTTCTCTTCCTTCTCCCGCCTAGAAAGTTACAAAGCTTCATTTTGATCCTGGCTGACATGACATGTAATAAAGCAAATTTTAAATCCCTTCTTCCTCATCCTCCTCCTTCTCTTTTTCTCTCACTTTCATTCTCTGTCATCCTCGCACTTTTCTTCATTGTCCTCTGTGCACTGTCTCTCTTTACAGGTTCGTTACCCAAGTGGGTTGTCAACAGGTCTTCACACCTCCTCGCTCCTCGTGTAAGTCATTTGCAAATTTACAAAGATTCTGTGAGTGTGTCTTGTGGTTGTGGACGTGTTAATCTACAGACACTTTGAGGTTATGAGCAGCATAGTGTTTGTCAAGATGAGGACTGTGCAGACCTTATATGCACGCATAACTTATAATCTCCTCTACGCATTCCAGAAACATACTGTTTATGTATTTGTTTGTCTGAGTGTGTGTGTGTATGTGTG